TTATGGTAAGGGGCGTTACATTTCCGACGAGTGCTTGCGGTGTTCGGCCAATCACAATGCACTGGGTCAGCTGGCCAATCAGAGCAGACTGCGCTTGTCGGAAGGAGGGACTTTGTAGAAAATGAAGCGTTTGAGAGAGGCGGGGCATAGAGGACCTACAATAATGTACAGTATTTGAAAAATAATGTGTTTTTTGAACATTAAACCATGTCAACATATTCTGTTACACCAAATACAATACAATATCTTTAAAAAAGCATCATATGACCCCTTTAATACATTTTAGGAGAAACCTATGATACATCAGTCAGTGAATCATAACTAGGAACTCCATTAAGTCTCCCAAACTATATGACAGAGCAATGCATTTGTCCTCTAGGAATATGCTGAATAAATATGTCAGAGGAGAGAAAGCATAGATTCTTCAACTCAAGGCTCATTGATTTCTCTGTCTGTGCACTTGTCTCTTGAGTTGGAGCAGTGTTTTAGACAATGACTCTCTAGCGCTGAAGTGTACAGATGTTCGGAGGGTCCACAGGCTTGCTGATTTGGTGGTTAAATGAGGCACAGCTTGCTGTGTGGAGTCACGCTCTTCTGCTAGTACAGCTACATAAACCTCAGCCTTATTAACATGACAGCATTGTGCTAAGTAGCAGCGCTTTTTACCCTTGCTGCCTGCCAGCTGGACTCAGAATCACTTCTGTCTGATGTGTTATTTTAAAAAGAAACTCTCTGATTCACATTTTCAAAAGAGAGATATCAGCTCATTTTTTAAATCTTTTCAGAGGAAAAATCTATTTAGTAACCAGGCAGAGCTTGGTAGGCGCGTATAATTGACAGTTTCATAGTTAATTGAGATCAAACACCTTTTAACCACAATCCCATTGTAATTTCTTCTGGCAAGGCTGTTTGTAGCTTTAGACTTAAGAGGGGAAAAAATAAAACAAGAAAATATACATGCCCACTTTCTCTATTATATTTATATTGCCTTTGTCATCACTTAAAGCTATAAAATAATTTACAAACACTGTAATCTTAAATGTAAAAGTCCATTTTTCATTGATCAGTTACTGGCCATAACATGAAAAGAATGATCAAATCTGACAGTGTTTTTAGCACACAATCTGGTACCTATTCCCATTTAGAGAGTCACACAGCTTGGGGAACATGGGAACAATTTGATGGTTGCCTAATGCCCTTGACCTCTTGTATAAACGTCCCTGTGTTTGGTCTTCTCCATAGGTATGACTTCATTGAGATCCGGGATGGGAACTCAGAGAACGCTGATCTGTTGGGGAGACACTGCAGTAACATCGCACCTCCTGCAATCATCTCCTCAGGCCCCATTTTGCTCATCAAATTCGTCTCCGACTATGCCCACCAGGGGGCAGGGTTTTCGCTGCGCTATGAAATCTATAAGACAGGTAAGCGTATGCTACCCAGCAGGATGTAGTTTATCATAAACAACGCAGTGTCAAAGCCTCGCCTGCTGTTTACGCATCTCTCCTGTGTGCTTAAAGCAAGAGTCTTCTGTTCAAGCGCTTGTACTAACAAAGCATTTACACTGTGGGGAGAGTTCATGTGAGTCCATTGAGCCTGTAAAGAAAGCAGGATTTCTGTGTCGATGCAACTGTCTCTCTTAGCACGTATCAAAAAATTCTTCCTTTCACACAGGAAACACGTACCTCACCTCTTCCTTTAACTACCCACCACTTCTTGCAGCATGGGCTGCTATGTGCCAAATCCCACCTGCCTGAGAAGTTCTGATTGGCTTTTGTCAGTCGGAGGGAAGAGTCCCTATTGGTCAGCGTGGTGTCATTGACAGCCCACCATTTTTATTACTTGTGGTGTAGAAGTGTTGATTCACTTTTGTAAACTGGAGGGAAAGGCTCTGATTGGGGAATTCAGAAGCAGGAAGACAGGATTACCATTTATGACAAGTTCCAAATGGCTTTTATGAGTTGGAGGGAAAAGCTGTGATTGGTTATTGGATCAAATGTAGTGGTCACCATAAGCTCCTTTCCTCTGGAGTGATTTTATCGCTGGAGGTCATAGCAAGGTTATGCATCATTCAGAATTGAATGCCTTTCAAAATGCAGTTGAGTTCGTTCATTTGAATTGAATTCGAATTTAGGTAGCAAACAGGATGCATACTTGCAATTTGAATGTGAATGTAAGGAAGTAAAATTAAAATGAATTGAAATTCATGTAACTGTAATTTTTAACAACAAATGCAAAGTTTATCTAGGTAACCTTTACATTTTCCCCTGAGTCTCATTTAAACATTTTGAGAGAAAAGCTGTAAAAAGTAAGAAAGTAAACCTTGAAGTCTGGATGGATGAGTGGATGAATAGGTGGATGGATAAATAAAGGGGTAGATAAATGGAAGATGGGTGGATAGATGGATTGGTAGATGGATGAGTCAATTGATATTGTATTACAATTTTGAAAAGTCTATAGACAAATGTAGTTTATATATTTCTTCTAGGGTGAAGGAACATTTTTGTTTTTACAGAATGCATTTCCTGCAATTACATTTTAATTTTTTTTTATTTTGTTTTAATTCAAACTCCAATTAAACTTCCTGTAGGGTGTGACCACTTCTAATTTACAAATTAAAAAGGAACAATTCTTCAATTCTAAACTTTGATCGCTCCAAATGTAAGATGCCCTGATGTTGTTGGTGATCTGTGCAACTGGCCATAACTTTGAAATGTATTCTGTTTTGATTATTTGATTATACTATTTTGCTATTTTTAAATTTTTTTTGCTGCTAAAAAATAGCATTTTTGCAGTTAAATCACTTTGGGTTGTTTTTTTGCTACTGCATGTATGAATGCCCTCTGAGCAGCCAGATTTACTGTAGCTGACCTCTGGTGCCTTCTTACACTGTACAATTTCTCTCTCCTTCACGGAGCCTGGTCGACACGCACCGGCACAAATTCAGATCAAGGCGGCTGCTGGCGGGCAAAATAAACAGAGTGGAGACATCCCTTGTTCCTTTTTCAACCTTCTGAAAGCATTCCGTCTTTAATTGTTTAATTGACTCCTGATCTACCCTCCCCTGAGGTCGGCTGGGGGTGTGGGGGGGGTTACTGGGGTTACTATGTGTGATGGTGTGATGGTCTTTCCTCTTAGCTCCCCACAGTAGTGCACTGGGACAGCCGTGCAGAGCAACTGTCATGAAGTTGAAGGAAGGCATTGGTCGGAAATGAGTAGTTAGTAGTTTGCAGTTGGTAGGTTCAGATCTACAGAGGAGTGGCAGTTGCTTCTGAGGGGCTGAAACACAAAAGCAAGTCCTTAATGAGATCCACCAGATGGATGACAAGCTAAACTCACTCAGTGTGGACACCCGATGCTGAGAGATGTCCGTGAACGCTTTATCACGAACAGAGGCCCCACACCTCCCGCTTTACGGAGGAAGTGATGACACAATCCGTTGAGTGTGATCTGATAGTGTGAGAGCTTCATAGCAACCTGGCTAACGCTGCGCAGAGGTACGAACGGAGACAGTGATGAACACTATAACAATGGCAGGTTGCAGGTTTTTTTAATCATAAACAAGCAATAATGATGAGACCCGTTGGCGTGTGAAAACTCGCAGTTGCCATGGCATTAACAAGATCTCATTATATTCAGAGGATGCATGTGAAAATGTGTGGGAGTGTGTGTGTGGATGTGTGCGTGTTCAATGACAAAGACAAAGAGAGATTTTTTTTGACTGAATTTTGATGAATTTGAAGAAGTAAGTGTGTTTGTTTATGACTTATTGATTTGGTGTTATATAAATAATTTTTTCAATTATAAACATATATATTTGTCAGTAATGCACATGCTCTGATGCATAGCACAAATTTTGTTAACAGGTTAAAAAAGTTTAAATGTGTATATATATATATACCATTCAAAAGTTTATGGTCAGTTTTTAAAAATAAATTAATACTTTTATACTTTTAGATAGAATGCATTAAATGAGTCAAAAGTGACAGTAAAGATATTTATAATAGGGCTGCACGATTATGACAAAAATCATAATTGTCGATTATTCCCTTGAAATTGTAATTTCGATTAAACGATTCTCACAATTTACATTGAATGATGTTTATACCATTGTTTGATGCAACTGCATGCCGTATTTTTATATGAAAATAAACAAGCTGAAAACACTCTTTCAAAAAAGAAAAATCGGAAAAATATTTAGTGCTTTTCTATAGTATTAAGCCTCAAATGTCAAATATCGTATTGGTTTCTTCTTTAAATTATATAAAAAAGTAAAAATATGAATGGTATAATGTTATACTAAAACTAAAACAATGGAAAAACCCTTAAGATAACATGTAGAAAGAAAAAAACACATCTTAAGTGTGCAGAATAACATAAGTGGACTTGGAACGATTAATTGCCGCTTTGAACGATTAAGTAATTGTAGCATCCATAATTGTAATTGCGATTAGAAATGTGATTAATTGTGCAGCCCTAATTTATAATGTAACAAAATATTTATTTTTCAAATAAATGCTGTTCTTTTGAGCTTTCTGTTCATCAAATAATCCTGCAGCAGCTCATCTGTTTTCACCATTGATAATAATAAGAAATGTTTCTTGAGCAGCAAATCAGCATATTAGAATGATCTCAGAAGAATCATGTGACACTCAAGACTGAAGTAATGATGCTGAAAATTCAGCTTTGCCATTACAGGAATAAATAACATTTAAAAAAAAAAAAAAATATATATA